GGGGGGGAGTGTGGTGACTCAAACAATTCATGACTTTCCTTACAAAATCTTTTTAAATTGGAGCATATTTTATAAAAGCCATATCCGCCTTTTCGAAAATAAGGTAAGATAAGGTAATACTTTATTATCCCCGAGGGTAATTTTTTTGGGGAGCTGTACAGGACCGTAAAAACACATGCAGGTATACATTAATAATTTAAACTATATATTACTTTCATTAAAATTCAATATAAAATGAGATGTAAAGCTAACAAAATGTACATTTCACATCAGATGCATCATTCATCCACATGCAGGAATTTAATTACAAGAGAGTAGGACCACTTTCTTGTTTTAGTAAGGTTTTACGGCGCTCGCAACTGCATATGAGCGCCAACCCCCCGGGGTGGTGCTACTGACTGAAGTGTCTTTCGGCCATTCCCAAATGGGGGACATTAACATGTTCTTATGCACAGCAAAAGGGCTGATTCATAAATGTCATGCTCATAACTGTTCCTGAACTGCATCAGGGAACTGCTAGAACTGCATCAGGGAACTGCTACATTTTCTTTCCTAATCCTTACTATCGTCATTTTTCTTTTCTTTTTTAAAAATATGTTTGTCACATTTTTGTGACGCGCTATTTCCGGGTTGCCTTGAAAGTCGAAGCAGACTTTGTGCTTTTGAAGCTAGAGAGGTGAGCAGAGTAGCTTGATTCCTGGTAAAGACTTCTCTGTTGGCATCCACTCCTTGGCGCTCATATGACCTTATTCATTTGCGAGCGCCGTAAAACCTCTACTAAAAAAAAAAAAAAGCCAAAGCGAAAACAAGACAGGGGAGATTACATAACCTTTGGAGAGCACCGGTGTTCGTGAATATTAAGTCGATTTTAAACTATTTAATTATACATACTGAAGTCGATTGGTTAAGAACTCAAGAATATAAGGTATAATGTTCTTTTTTATGTTCATGCTATTTAATTTTGAAACTATTATGTGGGGTGGGATTGTGTTGAAAGCGGATGAAAATTAGAGCTTAACTCAAAACATTGCACTGTGACTTTGCACTGACACACTCAAAGCAATCAAAAGCACAAGAAATATGGCACAACTGAAAGACTTAAGATCTATATTAAGAAAAAGGTTGTCAAAAGACCGTGTAAAAATTTAGTAAGCGTAAAAGTATTAAAAAATTATGGAGATCTGTAAGAGTTTCGTCGCCACGTCCTTATGAATTTTATGTCAAACAAATTGTTTTTGAATGAATTGTATCTGTTCCAAATTGCAACATTTAAGTTCACATTTTGTGTGAAACATTCTGAAAAGAAGTTGTAAAGTCCTTTTTGGATCACCCTGTAAATGTAAGTATCATCATCATTAACCGTTTACCTCCATTCAAAAGAAATGCAAGGATAGATCGCAGGAGCTGGGCCTGCTGGGCGGTCAGGTTGATGGTGACTGGACCTTGGGCTGGCTGGTTGCCGGTTGTTGTTGGCTGGTTGCCGGTTGTTGTTGGCTGGTTGCCGGTTGGCTGACCAATTGGAGGGCCAACAGCAGGACCAGGGTTGGTCCCAGTAGCAGGGTTGTTGACGGGGATGGGGGCGGGGTTATTGGGGAAAGGATATCTGTAGTATGGTGGCCGTCCTCCTAAGATTCCTGAGGAAATTTTTTGTCATCATCATCATCATCATCATCATCCTCATCCTCATCCTCATCCTCATCCTCATCCTCATCCTCATCCTCATCATCATCATCATCATCATCATCATCATCATCATCATCATCATCATCATCATCATAAAGTAGACTATGCACAGTGCACAGAATTGTTGAAATACAAATGCTTGTTCTGAAGAACGTGTCTGAACTGGTCATTAACATTAATTGGGGCCTGTAAACTTAAGCTGTTGAGAGGGCCATTATCTGGGTATATCTTGAGGGTATTAATACGTAGAGTTTTTCATTTCAAGCCACTCCAGGAGGTTTAATTTGGACTCATTTGACTCTCAAACGACTTTCCAATATCTCTTTTATCAACTGAAAATCATTTCAGCTTTGTGCTACAAAGAGGTAATGGTTATGCTTGAAGTCACAGGCAAATAATATACTATGTTATGAATAATATAATGTGATATGAAAAAAGCCGTAGTAAAATTTACTTGTAGTATTGCAAGTCACCAATTCAACACCTCTTTCATATGAAGGTGTGGCACTCTCTAGTTAAGTCTTTTCTCCCTTAGGACCAAATCATGAGTAACGATATCTCACATAGGAACTCAAATCTTAAAACATCCCGTCAGTCTCGATCCCAGTTCAGTGCACTACACGCCCAGCTAACAGATCACCCCATAATGTATGCACGTAAACACTTCATCTAGTAAAGCATCATGTTGATTAGGTATACACTGACACCTTCTTACACAACACTGAAAGCCGAATATCCCACTCAAAACAAACGAAAGTTCTTACCTCCGAGGAAAAAGTGCCTTTTTAGCCTGTTCTCTTCTGCTGCGCAAACAGACACAAGCAGGACAGCTCCTACGAGGAGTGCACAGATTTGTTTGGCGTTCTAAAACAGACAAGGAAACACACTGATATAATAAAAGATCACCAATGGTTAGGCTGGAATTTTTTATCCTGAGATTTTCTTATCAACGAGTGGATGAGCAACGCCTACTACCACTCAAAACTAGGAAATAGGATCCAGTAAATAAAAGAAAAGAAAATGGGACAAAAATTGACCTACAGAAAAAGTAAACAGCAACTTTTTCTGTCCATGCAGTGAGATTTTTTTTCAAAGAGTGACATGCACGATATAACAATAACATGAGGCAATTTCAAACTTTAGAAGCCATTGGAAGGAACGAATTAAATAGAAAAAAGTGTATGACTAACAAGGTGCCAGTATTTCAAATCTGACACAATACGATCAATGACTTGACTGATCAAGACTGCGACTCATTTTGACATGTGTCATGGTATCGATTAACGCAGCCTTTGCCCTTGAAAATGTGAAATGGTATAAGGTTAACGCCCCAATCAAAACATTCGTTATTTGAGAGGCAGGAACGTGGCCTTTGGATGTACATTTGCAATTCCAAGAGATATCATTGTGGTGACAAATTTCAAAGTTCTTGTAAGATTGGGTATATTTTCCTGAAAGTATTTGCGGTAAAAGTAAGACAGCTGGTGATGAAGTAACACCAGTGGGGAACATTTTTCGTTGTATTACTTCGTCGTTATAATAGTGTGTGCTCGTTGCTTAGTGCAATTGACCAATGCTTTGGTCTGCGTGAGAGAACTGAAGGCTGACCCGAGTGGGGTCCTGAATTTCCTTGTCCTTCTAGGAGAAAATCTCTAGTTTCCCCAATGTCCTAATGGGGACCAAACTCCCTGTCCACAAAGTATTCAATACTT